AACATTACAACGGTTTCAATACGACATCTCAATTTGGAAATACAGTATCTCCATGGATGTCAAGGCTGGCACTACGAAAATATTCTTGGTAACGGCGAATTTACATTTCATACAACATGAATTTTGTTCTCACCATTGGGTGCATTTATTTTCGATCACAGGCGAATTTACTTTCCGGAAAGACTGTATAACAGCATTCATTCTATCAATTCTCTTGATGATATGCAAGAATACTCCAGATATTGACTCTGATGATCATATACAATCCTTTAGTGAATTGATTCGACCGAGGATTTAGTATATCTTTATATTTCATACTCTGAAATTACTCAAGAATGACTCTATAAAAAGCCACTACCCTATTCATTGCAGGTACAAAAATTCCTCTTAGCCCATTTAGTGTAACAGTAGAAATTTTTAATGTGTTAAAACAATTCTAAATGCTTAACAATTAGCGTATTACAGAGCTTTCTCGAGAGCTCTACTTGTCATTAGCTATAAAGTATTGTTCAATTTGTTTAAGATAAGAGATTTTTTGTATAGTTTTTTTTTCAACGGGCAAAAAGAAGAGACTCTTCCAATGTGTTCGTATCCTCAGCGGATCAATATACATCAAGTCATGTATACAAAACAAACACTTCCTATTAGCCTCATTCTCTTCTATCCTTCACTAATTAAAATGACAGGTGATGAATTCTTTGTACCCTTTTAAATTCCCATAGATTTACTATACTAGCATCAAAAAAGAGATCTGCATCAGCATTTTCTAATATGAATTTGGTATCAATCACATGTATTTATAAATCATTCACTCTAATGTATATTTCATAATTTCTCAATCTTTAATAAAGAACAAGATTCAGCAGTAAGAGCAGTAGTAGCCATATAAACGGTAGTAACCAAGGTACATGTCATGTGGAATTATGCAGCTAATTATAATAAGTTACATGATGACGACAAGTTTAATTTTAAGAAACCAATTTCCCATGATTTTCAACTTTTTCTCTTTTTTGTATTCTTTGTGAACAACGAAATAATAGACGCCAAGAGTGAAGATAAACGACTACCATTTCCCCCCCTTCTTGAGAGAAATAATAGATAAATATAATTCTATTGTTTAAAAGCAAACTAAGGCAGTAGATAAGCAAAAAAAAAAAAGAGAGAAAGAGAGAAAGAGAAAGAGAAAGAAAAGGGGAGAAAGAATAAGGCGTTCCTTTTTTTTGTTGTTTCCCTTTGAATAATGGAATGTAAACAAGTTATCATTAAACATAAATGGTTAATCCTATACAAGATCGGAGAAGGGTCCTTTGGACAGGTATTCAAAGGTAATATCCAATGATACTAATTATATCCATTTATTTAACCATTTATTTCATAGCCAAAGACATAAAGTCGAATGATTTTTATGCGATCAAACGTGAATTGAAGGACAGCCCACAGCTTTACCATGAATTCAAATTCTACAAGACGTTAAAGGGTGGACGTAAGTATGAGACATAAAATTGGATGTATCTGCATGTTTATACAATCATAGCTTGTATACCAAATTGTTACTGGTTTGGTCAGCATGACGGTTTTAATTGTCTTACCTTGGATTTGTTGGGTCCCAGCTTAAAGCACCTTCAAGAAAAATTAAAGGAGATACCATTAAGGATTGTTGTTCAAATAGGATGTCAATTAGTAATAGACATCTATCATACTATTCTTTATATTAATATCCTTTATAGATAGCCTGTTTCAAGCATATGCATGACCTTGGCATTGTCTATCGGGACATCAAACCAGAGAACTTTTTATTCCCTTACAAATATTCCTTTTCCTCTTTCTCTTCTTCTTTATCATCGTCAACTTCACCACCTTCACCACCATCGTCTTTGGCTTTATCAGTACCGCCATTACCATTATATATAGTTGATTTCGGCTTAGCCACTTGGTGGAGGAATTCCAGGACGAATAAGCCTTATCCTGAAGCAAAATATATTAAATACAAGACAGGAACGGCAAGATATGCATCCATACGTGTTCACAAGGGCCATTCCCACGCCAGAAGAGACGACTTGGAAAGTCTTGGTTATATGTTACTTGATCTGCTCTGTGGTGACTTGCCTTGGTCAGGCGTAGTAGCACGTTCGCGTAAAGCAGGATGGGATCGGATTAGAAAAATAAAAGAGGACACGTCCTTGTTTGATCTATGCATAGGATTACCCGTGGGTATTCTTCATTTTATTGACTATACAAGAAAACTTGAATTTTACGACACACCTGATTATGACTACCTGATATCCGTTTTACAAGAATCTCTACCCTTTGGCTCTTATTCGACACTGGTCAAACCACAAACGCAAGACCTGTTTGATTTACCTTCTTTTTCAAAATCCATACAAATTTAAAACTCAATAGTAGTAAAGGAATACAGTGTTTTGCGTTTGACTATATTACATTTCGAGCTTTGTGATCTTGGTTGTTGTAGTCATTCTTTTCTTTATTAGTTCGAATTGTACAACGTAAAATAAACACAGTAATATAAAAAGCTTTTTTTTTTTGATCCTTTATCTTCTTTTCGTTCGAATTTGTACGCACCTGGACAATCCGTCGTCAAATTATGAATACTGAGAACAATGGTTACGATCAAGTTGAATCCCCGGCATGTGCCATGAAATCCTTTAACCGCCCTTCCCCCTTGGAAGTTAAGTTCGTGTCTTCCCCCTTCTTACAGGAAGACCCCAACGTGATCGTTCGGTCTCCCGGAGCTGATTTCACTCCTTCTTCAGTTCTTTTGGAACATTGTCCCTTAATTGAGGGAGATTTCTTTAGTCGTCCTCTTCCGAATATTGAGCGCTGGCGTTTTCTCTTTGAGTGCCCTAAGAACACCATTCGTTCCTACGACCTACCTGAATTCAATAAGGTTAACCTGTCAAGCCCCGCTCGTCGCTTCGACACTCAACTGCATGATATCCAGTATCGTCTCTCTGATCCTACTCACTCTATTGACTGATTCACAATCGGTAGAATCTGGACACTACTCATCAGCGATCTATGAAGTTTGTCAAGGTTATTCACGAGCTTCTGTCCGGTCTGGCGTCGCATATCACCAAGTAACGTACTTCTAACATGTTCCGGGGTATTTCCACTTCTTGCGGCCCCCCTTCCGATGAACCTCAGAACTACCTCTTGAACCCCAAAGATATGGTGGATCACATCAAACTGTCTCAAGCAGTCCAAGCCTCTACACGTAGACGCTCCAGACCTCGACCTAATATCCATTAGAGGCTCGACTTTTAGTGGTTACACCACGACATCTAACACCACTACTGGCAACGCTTCTACTGCTCAGTCAAAATCTGTACAACAATAGCGAGGTTTTCAATCTCGTCCCAACATCACCAAGAGGAAATAAGCATTGTGGGAAGACGTTTGTCTCTTTTTGTGCATCCTTGGCCTCTGTTCTTACAGTAGCCTATACACCCACGGCTCCTAAGTGTCCTCCATCACGGCTTTCGACTTTGCTTTTCCTCTCGTCCTCCTCTGCAAGCAATTTATCCATTACCAACACCAACCATTTTATTTCCAACAACGACGACCCAAATCATCGACAGCGAGACCTCCTCCCTGCTCAGCAAGCAGGCCATCGAACCGGCGCCTCTTCTTTCTCAAGGCTTCCTTTCCAACTGATTCGCGATCCCAAAGAAAGATGGGAGCCTCCAACCCGTTATCAACCTGTGACAACTCAACTATTAACTGCCTGTGCGTCACTTCAAGATGAAGACACTGCAAATTATCACCAACTTGTTACAACCAGGCAACTATCTCACATCAATCGACTTAAAGGACGCCTTCCATCATATTCCTGTGCATCCCTCCTCACGCAAGTACCTCTGTTTCCGATGGCGCTCACAACTGGTCCAGTGCCGCGCCCTCCCGTTCGGCCTCAACCTGTCCCCTCGGGCCTCCACCAGGGCCATCAACCTTTACTACAATGGGCGAAGCGCAAAGGAATTCGCTTGACAGCTTATCGACGATTTCATGATAATGGCTTCCTCCAAAGAACAAACACTGGCTCAGACAACACAGGTATATACGAAGATGGCCCGGTTGGGGTGGTTGGTCAACGACAAAAATCCATTCTAACCCTCTCTCAGCAGATTACTCACTTGGGCATGACGATCGTCACGGCATAGATTACCATCTCCATACCAGGCAAGAAGATTCGATTGATTCAATGAATGGCTTACAAACTTTGCTACCAGCAATCGACGACATGGACACAACTCTCAGCCTTCACTATAATGACGATGGCGACTCAACTTGGCAACATCCAAACACACTTTCGCGCCCGACACTACTGCAGCAGCTTAACAGATACCGACGATATGCAATACCACCTTCAATCACACAGAATCACTTTTGTCCTATCACCCCAGAAATGAAATAAGAACTGACCTAGTGGGTTTCGCAACTTTAGCAATGGAATGGTCAGCATATATTTCAGCATACGCCCGTCATTCAAGTATTGAGAAGGTGAGATAAATATTTGATGCATAATTCTAAGTCTATTTTGCTAATTCTTTACTCTTTATAAAGTATTCAGACGGCGAAGATGATAATCACTTTCTGAGAAAATGCATCAAAGAGATCGAGTACGAAAACAATGGCGATAAAAAAAAGCAAAAAAATAGGCAAACACTTAATTAAACAATACTCAAAGAAGCACAACGAGAAGACATAAATCTTATCCTAAGCGTCCCTAAGCCAACATTAAAAAAGGATTTATTATTGCAGAAAACTAGGCCAGTAAAGAAACGAAGAGAGTACAAATTTCTTTCACACCAGCATTTGTTATTTGTTTACAGCCATTTCTTTGGTAAAAGATCAAAAACTCCTTCAAGCGAAGAAAGCATCTGGCTTGGTAAAGCTGAGCCTTTGGATATAGTGCTCACAGAATGTCCACTAGGGATGCTTCATTGATTGATCCTCTTCTGAAAGCGTTTGTTACTAATATTGTAACGATGTACTCGGGTGAACGAGTGTCTTACTAGAGAAAACTTTGTTAGTCCTGCTACGACTACATCTAGCTCCCACAAGGGAAAAGAATTTTTAGACAAAAGATGCAGGTAAGCAAACTGATTTCGTTTATTAAATACTCTCTAATTTACTAGCCATAGCTTTCGTAATCTTAATGAAAAAGCTAAGAAAAAGCAAGTTAGCTATGCATCTTATTCAAGGAAGGTTATTAAGAAAAGACTGTGACGGCATCGAAAGCGTCTTCACAAACTTCAAGTCAAGCAGAAGAGTAGTGGCTCTACTAACGTCAAGAGAAGTATATCATCAAGAAACTTGAAGACTAACTTAGAGAATTCTGCCAAACTGAGAGCAACCCTGTTGGTAAATCGTCTACACAGTTGGATACTCATCTTTCTACTGAAGAAAGGAATACTACATCTGACGTTGTTAATTCTATACTTACTGGGAAAACTTCTGCTAGTGCTGCTAATAGTGATGCAAATGAAAGCAAGCTGAAGAACATCGCCAAGTATATAAAAAGCCTGCTTATGCGTCAAGGCAGCACACATGAAACAATTGATTTCCAATTTATCAAGCGTAACTTACAGTATCTGGAACTGTCCAATTTGGAAGCGTCTGCTGTATTGAGTATCCATAATTTTTTCAAGCAACTGGTTCTGCCATGTGTAGGAGAAGTAGACGTGAACAAACATGTATTGGTAAGCCTTCCTGTGGTAAAAGCCTGCAGAGCCATCCTTTTCCGAACATGTTACAACAAACTTTGTCGAGCACTTGTGCCAAACACGAAACCATCCACTCTCCATTCTTTACAGCTTAACACAGATAGCTTGTATTATCTTTTTTGCTCAAAGAGATTTGGATCAATCAAAGCACAGACACAGGACGGCAACTACATCAACAACTTGACAGCAGCAAAAGACAATAAAGGCCGCCTATTTAGTACTATTTTTGATTTGAACAAGATCAAGCAATTGTGTAAAAGCCGGGGGTACAGAGTTTGGTTATAGATTAGTTATCACCAGCTACGGCATTGCTCATCTTCAAGCCATTATCTCTAGTTTATCTACATCAACAATAACAAAGGTAAGGATTAGAAGCAACAGAGGCAAAAGAAAAAGGGCTATTGATTATGAGAATGCTCTCGACGAAGCTATCAGACAACAGAACAATATAATAAAAATAGAAGAAGGAGATATAACGAAGCTGTTACTGGAGATACGTAATATTCAAAAGAAAACAAGTAATGTCAATGTAGAGATAAACAGCACTCTTGATATTACAACAAAGAAAACGTTGATGAGCGAACGACAGGCATTAAAGACATCCATGAAGCAAAAATATCGGATCATGCTTGAAAAAATAGAAAAAGATCATGGAATGCAAGAATGAAAAACCAAATCTTTATGAGTCATTGCTAACAAGCGAAAATTCTGTAGAAACATATCAATGATCAAAAACGACAAACCTATCTGACCCCTTGGGTAATATGACTTTTTACGGTGTTGATCCTGGTGTTCGCACAATGGCAACCTGTGTCAAGACGAATGCCAAAGATGCCATTTCATGCTTGTCCCTTTCTCTTGGGCGCCCAGATTTATTGGCTACTTTTAAGGCTGAAGAAGGAAAATCAAGGCTACAGCAACTGCTAAAATCTCGTGAAATAGCAGTTACAGCGACAAGCAACACAAGAACAGCATAATTTGGAAAGTTGATGTCGGACTTTCTCTCTGTGTAGAGAGCGGGTTTCGAATACTGTTTTGGATATTTAGAGTTTTCCGTAAAGGAATAAAGTTATGCCACCAAATCTGTTCCGATTAGTAAATGTGAGAAAAAGAAAGTGATCGCAGTTTTTAAATAATATGCAGACTATATAAACTTCAATTCTTTTTCCCTTTCTTTCTTAAATATACTCAATGTTCCTTCGTCAACTCTTTATTCATAAAAAGCCCTTCATTACCTCTTCTGCCACGCGTTCACTTGCAACCAAGGCTACGTTTGTTAAATACAACTGGCAAGATCCCCTTAATCTCGAAAAGTTACTCACCGAAGACGAAGTATTCGTTCGTGACGCTGCAAGAAGTTACTGCCAGGAACGTCTTTTACCTAGAGTCATTCAAGCCTATCGTAACGAAAGTAAATATAGACATCTCTACAAACTCGAGTCTATACTAACCTGACCTTAGAGTTCGATAGAGAGATCATGAATGAAATGGGTGAGTTGGGTTTCTTGGGATCCACCATTGACGGTTATGGCTGTGCTGGTGTATCATCAGTTGCTTATGGTTTGACAGCCAGAGAGGTTGAAAGGTAACTTACAAAAAAGTACTGTGGGAAAATTGATGTTAAATTACTCCCATTAGAGTTGATTCTGGTTACAGATCAGCCATGTCTGTACAATCCTCTTTAGTGATGCATCCTATTAACGCCTATGGCTCAAAGGAACAAAAAGACAAGTTCCTTCCATCTCTAGGTAAGTTAATGACCTCTTCAAGGTCTATGTGCTTCTAAGCTGATGACTAAATGTATATATAGCAAAGGGTGAGAAAGTTGGATGCTTTGGTCTGACAGAACCCAATCATGGATCTGATCCTGGAAGTATGGAAACAACAGCCAAGAAGGTTAATGGACATTATGTCCTGAATGGTTCCAAGACTTGGATCACAAACTCACCTATTGCCGATGTCATGGTTGTCTGGGCCAAGAACTTGGATGAAGGAGGCGCCATTCGAGGCTTTTTGCTTGAACGTGGTATGCCCGGTTTAGAGACACCTGTGATTCATGGCAAGTTTTCTTTGCGTGCTTCGATCACAGGCATGATCATGATGGATAATGTTGAAGTACCTGTTGAAAACATGTTACCTAACGCCAAGGGTCTCGGCGGTCCCTTTGGATGTCTGAATAACGCTCGTTATGGCATTGCTTGGGGCGCCTTGGGTGCTGCAGAAGCTTGTCTGGAACAGGCTCGTAGTTATACCTTGGATCGTAAGCAGTTCGGTCGTCCCTTGGCTGCTAATCAATTGATTCAAAAGAAGTTGGCTGATGCTAATACTGAAATAGCCATTGGCTTACAAGCATGTGTTCAAGTCGGCCGCTTAAAGGACTCGGGCGAGCTCGCTCCTGAAATGATTTCAATGATCAAGAGAAATTCTTGCGGCAAGGCTCTTCAGATTGCCCGTGAGTGTCGTGATATGCTTGGTGGAAACGGTATCTCTGACGAGTATCATATCATTCGTCATGCTGCTAATCTTGAAGCTGTTAATACCTATGAAGGTACCCACGACGTCCATGCCTTGATCCTTGGTAAAGCCATTACTGGTATTCCTGCTTTTGCTAATTAGAAAGACATGAATTATGCAGTTTTTTCTTAAATATTTAAGCTCTTTTTAATAAACCATCGTCATCCTTTCTAGACTTTATCATTGTTTTCTCTTCTTTATCGGACTTTAGCAATTCCTGCAAAAACTTACCGTTTATGGACAACGTTTCTTTCTTTTTTTTCCCTGTCTTTATTTTCTATAATGGATCCAAGCAGAAAGGTGAGTGTTGTTAGAATTAGGATAACACCAAGTTTTTGATATATACTTTACTAAATAGTCACACATAGATACCACCCCCACCTTCTTTCCAATCTGCACCTGATTTGAGCAAGTCTAGTTTCAACATTCCTTCCTTCACTAGCGCACCAGATGTCTTTAATAAAGAAATAAACAGCAGCAAAAGCGCACATAAAGAACACAAGCGACGCTCAAGGCGCAGTAGGTCTCGTTCACCTTCTCATCGAAAAAGTAGATACAGATCTCGATCACCTAAAAGATCCCGTTCTCGTGAAAGATCGTATAGAAAAGAGGTAATTGAAACAAAATAATTAAGAGGGGAAATATTGACCTCAAAAGCTGTTAGTCACGTCGTTCAAGAAGATCACCTTCAAAAGAGCGAGAACCATTACATTCGTAAGTTATGATACTTCTACATACACTTTATACTTATTGCTTGTGTAGAGGAGAGTTGAAAACAGGCTTTACCTTCATTATTGATAAAAGAGGGGACCCAGAGTTATCTTTTTATGGTGGCACCCATTCATATTCTGTACCAGCATTTCGACGATCAGGATGTAAAATAGCTTTCAATGATAGAGAAAAACAACAAGAGAGAGAGAGGGAGCTAATCTGTTTTTTTCACTTTCTTTAGATGGAAGGGTCTTGGGATTCAACTGGAATGAACGGCTAATTGTTAATCAAGGAAAACTTGAGCTAGTGGATATATTGTCTTCAAAGGTTAGAGATCAACACTCGAGAGAGATTTAATGTTTGTTCATTTCCCCCCCACCTTTTTTTAGCCTGCTAGGTATACTGATTCAGAATACGCTTGGAAAGAAATCGACAAATCTTTAAAACGGTACACTTGATAGATATCCATTTTAATACACATAATATTGACAACTTGTTCAATTATAGAATTCGCATCAAAAAGCAAGAAAACGATCAGGATCCATTTAGCTTGTCCAGTGGATACGTTCAGCTCAGTGATGATCACCAAAAGAAAAAGAAGGCCGACTACGAGTCACTTGTTTCTACAGGTGTTGACTATAGGTCACTGGAAGGCAATAAAGTACGAGCAGTAAGAGAGGAGGATGAAGAAGAAGAAGGAGAGAGCTACAACGACATCATACGACGACGCACGGTTGACTACAATCAAAGACTAGATAAAGAGCCTGAAAATGTTGATTTGTGGCTAGAGTTCATACGCTTCCAAGACGAGGCGGCAGAAGGACTCGATGCATCAGCAACAAAGAGCAACCAGTCAAGCTTGAACGAGGTGAAGTTGAGCATATTTGAAAAAGCATTGATGCACAATCCAAAAGATGAGCGATTGATTCTCGCCTACTTGGCTTGCGGTGCAACCATTTGGGATACACTGACACTGCTAAGAGAATGGGATAAACAACTGAAGCTATATCCTGATTCTATTAAGCTTTGGTCTGAATATATAAATACAAGGCAAACGAGTTTTTCCAGCTTTTCATTTACAGAATGCATCAAGGTATTTGAGGATGCTTTATCTATACTGAAGAGACAATTAGACAGGACAAGACACCGTGAAGAACGAGAAGATATTGAATGCCTTATAGTTTACATCATACTGAGAACATGCCTGCTTATGAAGCAATCAGGATATATTGAGCGAGCCTATTCGGTTTTTCAAGCCATCGTCGAATATAATTTATTTGCTCCTACTGGAATACAGGACAAGCTTGGTGCGTTTATGGAATTTTGGGATAATGAAGCACCACGTTTTGGAGAAAAAGAAGCTCAAGGCTGGAACACCTACTATAGTACAAAGGCAGATTACGAGCACAGGCCTGAAGAGGAGGAGAATGTGGAACTCATCACCTTGCAGGATTGGGCAAGGCATGAGATTGAGGCGGACCAAAAGCATCGACTGCCAGTGCGTATGACTCAAATAGACGATGAAAATGTAGATGAAGACCCCTATCGAGTTACTCTTTTTGATGACATACAGCCCTTCTTGTTTGACTTTACGACATTTGCAGCACGTCAGACATTGATTTACAGTATCTTTGTCTTTTTGGGATTGAATTATACTCCTCCGAATATAGGAACGAATACACACTTCTTCACAGATACCTTTACACATAATGATCTGCCATTAGACAAGTTCTGGCCTGATAATAGCAACAAGCAGTCATGTTTGGTTTGGTATGTTTCTGGTGTACCTATGGAGCCAGAACAGGCGGTGACAGAAAACGATCCATTCTCTATCCCTCCTTCGTATCCAGTTGGACTGTCTGAGCTTTTTGCTCAACCACAACACTGGTTTTGTTCCTCAAAGACAGAATACAACAAAGTAGACCGCGAATTCACAAAATATGCCTTTGAACAGCTATTAAAGTCGGAAAGGTCCATGCATCTCACACTTTGCTATTTATCCTTTGAGTCCAATTATGAGTATAAAGCGTAAGTCCCTTCTGTTTATTTATGCCATATTAAATCACCACAACTGACTTTTACTTGATTCTAGTGGCCGAAAGCTAGCAAAGAGTCTTTTAAAAGATAATCGAACAAATTTAGTTTTATGGACTGCATATGCACAGATGGAAAAGAGTCATAACAAGATTGATGAGGTAAGAAATCAAAGTGTACCAAGTATCAATACATTTATTCTATTTTTACCAAAAAGGCACGAAAAGTATACATGACAGCACTATCAACATATCGTAGCTTTAGTGAATCGGAACAGCTCGCAGCGCCTTTAATGTATCAAATGTTTGCAAAATTAGAAATGGAAAACGGACGACCTGCTGAAGCACTCAAGATTTTAGTGTCAATGTCGGGCGATAAACCTTATGGTATGTTGTCTTTTCTTCATTATATGTCTCATTCTAATATGTTCTATACAGATGTGAATATGCCTTTACCCACAGCAACTTTAATTTTGCGAGCAAGAGAAGTATGGGAATGCATGGTAATAATGTAGGAAAACTAAATGTATATATGATAGTATTTCGCTCAAAAGACTCTACAGCTGTCCGTTCTGTCAGGGGTAGAGAGTGAGATGCAAGCAGGGATTAACACGGTTGTTTGTTCAGCGCTATTTGAATATCTAAGTAGTGGTCTTGAAAATGCATGCAAAGTGTTTGATCGTACATTGGATTATATTAAAGAAAGAAAAGCAGAGCGAGGCTATGTGTCAGAGCTGGTAATGACAGAGTATGCCAACCTACTTTATCAGCACACAAAATACCATCAATTAGAAGGAGGATTTCAACCACGGATGATGAGAGACAGGATGGAACAGGCTATTCAGCTATTTCCAAATAATACCATGTTTTTCTCTTTTTACATTTGGAACGAGTCAAGAGCTAAAGTGTTTAACCGTGTTCAGACACTATTCAATACTGCACTTTCAAAGTAAGTGGTGCCGTGTCCCCCTATGATCATCTGTATATATCTAAATATATTTTTATATAGAGAGTCAAATGTGGTTCTTTGGTTATCTGCTATTTATAACGAGTTACACAGATATAAACCATATCAAGCAAACTTGGTTAGAGACTTGTTTGAGAGATCCATTCAAGATATCAAGTAAAGTATAAAAAAAATAAGAACGAAATAACAATATTCTAACCTTTAGATAGTACCAAGAGCTCGATTATCTTGTGGAAATGCTATATTAATTTTGAGCTTTTGCAAAGAAATATTGAACGAGCCAAAGGATTATTTTATAGGTCTTTAAGAGAATGTCCGTGGTCAAAGGAGTTGTATATTATTGGCATAGAGCAATTTGAAAAGATAATGGATGACAAGGAATTGAATGAATTGGCGAGTTTGATGCTTGAAAAAGAGATCAGACTTCGCACTCCAATTACAGATTTAATATAAACTCTTCTCTCTTTCTATTATTAGTTTTCATTGTTGTCAAATTGACTACACACATAAAAGTAATAGCACTGCCTTCTGTTCTGTATCCATGTAGATCATATACTTGCCTTTCTTTTTTACTTTCTTATTTTATGAAACGAAGTATTACTATTGACTTCCATGACACCTGGGGATTATGCAGATATTATTATACTCATAACACTGGAAGTTCAGACGACATCCTATTAACCCCATCATCCCTTTGCAGCATTACTACTGAAATGAGCTTAGGATACGCCACTATATATTCCCTCAGACGATACACATACCCGACATTCACCGTACCTGTACCTTCCAATAAATCAGTAAAACATGAAAAATCAAGGCGACACTCTGCTACTGAAAGCAAAGTCCACACTTCAAACATAAAAGACTCTGATACCGAAGATCATCAGCCATCTATCCTAATTTTCCCAGGCAATAAGAGGTCGAGCAAATACACACCCAGTCCATCAAGCGCCGAAAAGGTAGAAGCTGCACTACGACCGTCACCAGAAGCTGAGAGCACAGATCTGATCATAGAGATACCCAACACTAGCCCAGAACAATCGTATCAACAGCAACAGCAGCAAGATGAAAAGAGGACAAAAGCAGACTTTAATTTCCAATTGGACATTTTCCTTTTTCTATTTGGCTTTTTGATCTTCCCATGTTGGTGGTTTGGTGCTTGGAGATATTTCTTACGTCCAACTCATGGTCAATGTGGGCAGATATTCCAAATACTCAATTGTTGTATGAGCCTTGTGAGCTTGTTGATAGCTGGTTTGTTAGTTGGTTTAGCTGCTGCTCTAGCATAGCTTCATTTTTTCTCACATGACCGTGAGACAATTCCCTTGTATAAATAAAGCATTGTGTGAAACGAGAAATATATATCTCTATTATCTTAACCATGTACTCCATGTCAAGATTGTCTGTAGTTAATGTAGCTAAAAGTTTGGTATGTACACAACATTGCAAAACAGAAACATGCTCTAAACTTACCTCCTTTATTTTAAAAATAGCTTCCATTAGCCATGAAGCGAAACTTTGCTACGGCTCATCGTGTTAATGGTGAATTTGTAAAGATTGTCGAAGTGGGTCCAAGAGACGGTTTGCAGAATGAAAAGACACTAGTACCTGCCTCTGTAAAGATCGAGTTGATCGAAAGACTTGCTAATAATGGCTTACCTGTTGTTGAAGTTACCAGTTTTGTTAGTCCCAAGTGGGTTCCTCAGGTACATCTACACGGCCTGAAAAGTAAGGTGTAGACCATATGACTAATGCTGTATACTAGATGGGAGACAATAAAGAAGTATTTACATCCATCCAAAAGAAACAGGGCGTTGGCTATCCTGTGTTGACGCCTAACCTCAAGGGTCTTGAAGGCGCCGTTGCATCAGGCGCTCAAGAGGTAGCCTTGTTCACAGCTGCTACCGAATCGTTCAATCGCAAAAATACAAACTGTTCAACCGAGGAATCTCTAAAGAGAGCTAGAGAAATCACTAAAAAAGCTTTGGATCAGAACTTAAAAGTGAGAGGGTATGAAGAGCTAATTTGCTAGCTTTACTCTTGAGCTCATATCATCTTTCAATAGGTATCTGTCCTGTGTTTTGGGTTGTCCATATGAAGGACCTGTTAACCCAGAGATTGTGGCTTCCATGGCTAAGGAGCTCTATGAAGCAGGCTGCTATGAAATTAGTTTGGGCGATACAATTGGTGTAGGCACAGCTGGATCCATGGGTGCCTTACTGGAGCATGTGCTCAAGGTTGTGCCTGTAGATGCAGTTGCCGTACATTGTCATGATACTTATGGCCAAGCATTGGCAAATATATTGAAGGCCTTGGAGGTAGATTGTTTATACAGACGTCATTGTTCCTTAAATAGATACTAAACTAACTTTGTAGTATGGTGTACGTGTCGTAGATAGCTCTGTTGCTGGCCTGGGTGGATGTCCATATGCCCCTGGAGCCAAAGGTAACGTAGCAACAGAAGACGTGGTGTACATGTTGAATGGATTAGGATATAAAACCAATGTTGACCTGGATGGTTTAATCGAGACAGGTCAATGGATTTCTGAAAAGTTAGGTAGACCCACTAGCTCCAGAGCAGGTGCTGCATTAATGCTCGCTAGAAAGCGTAAACAAGAATTAGAAAAGTCAAAATTATAAATTATAAAATAAACTACAGAGGATACAAACAATGATGCAGCGGGAAAAGATTATATTATAAAATGTACCATTCATTGCAATATATACTGCTGACAGCATTATATGTCATTGGATGCTGGTTTGTTTATAAAAAAGGGGAAGATTTTCATTTTGACTTTTTCTTTCACAAAGCTTATTTCAAATGACTGTCGGAGCAACCAACGACAAGGAGTTACGAGTCTATAGAGGCAATCAACCTAATATGGACCCAAATGGTGAAATAGCGTTATTTGACTTTTTGTTTAAGCAAGATAGCAGGATACCCCTTGATCATAAAATATATATAGACTCGATCGATCCTACTCGCTATTTGACATATGGAGAACTAGCTGAAAAATCACTTCAATGTGCAGCCGCGTATAAGCATCGATTTGGGTTGCAAAGGGGTGATGTTATTGCTGTATGTTCTCCTAATGATATAAGATGTCCTATCTTTTTTTTTGGCGCAATTGCCGCAGGTTATGACATTTCCAACGTAATTTTATAGAAGAGGCTTTTAATAACCTTCTTTTATAGGCTGCGTCATTACTCTATTAGATCATTCAGCGACTTCTACCCCGAAAGATATCCTGACTGAACTCACTACGGCGAAACCAAAACTCTTTATTATGCACCAGTCTCAGGAGGATTTCGCTTTTGACGCTGCCAAGAAAGCAGGCCTTACAGAGGAAAATATACTTTTGCTACAAGACAATAAGACACTGCAAGATAATTCATACCCCCATCTTCTGACTGCTGACGATATATTATTGTCACATGATGCCACAACAAAGCCTTATGCATACAACAAATACGACCTACTAAACACCCCATTCTGCCTTTATTTTACTTCGGGATCTACTGGTAATCGAAAAGCATGTATGATCAAACAAAACGCGCTTGTTTGTATGTTACGATATGTCAGCAAAAGCCTTCCTATAGGTTGTCTTTCAACCATAACGACTTCCGGCTTTAGTTATGGAAGTTCGCTTGTCGTACATTTTATGTTTGCTGTTTACTTTGGCATTTCGGTTTATATTTATCGTGGCGGGAAAAATGCATTTGAAGACATATGCCGCATTACTGACAAATACAAAATCAACCTGTTGATGCTATCCCCTCATTTGGCCACCGTCTTTGTAAGAAAGTCAGAAATTAGGCACAAGTACAATTTATCTTCACTTAAAAAGATCTATGTCGGAGGCAGCCATATGGACATGACTCTCCTGAAGCTTTCAGAGCAAGAGTTTGGATTTCCCTATACAAACTCGTTTGCAATGACCGAGTGCGTCGGAGTGTTTGAACAAACGGATGAGTGGGCTCTCATTGGCTCTGTTGGCAAATTGTGCTATGGGATGTCTGCTCGTATCGTGGACCAAGATGGAAATGATGTGCCCCTAGGAGAGCCAGGCGAGCTTCGATTAAAGGGCCCTATGACGGCCATTGGATACTATGGCAATGAGAAAGAAACTGCCAAATTGTTTGATGAGCACGGATATCTGAGAACTGGAGATATGTTCAGAATGGATCAAGATGGCCACTTTTACTATATAACGCGCTACAAGGACCTCATAAAATATCATCGCTTCCATATCTACCCTATAGAGATAGAAGAAGTGCTTTTCAAGCATCCATCCGTCATGGATTGTGCAGTGGTAGGCGTCTATTCTGAGCAAGAAGCAGTGGAGCTCCCGCGAGCGTATATTATATTGGTCGAGCAAGAACAGAATAAGGAAAATGTTTTGCAAGATATCCTAGATTACGTTCATTCACAGGTCCATGATAGTCGTAAATTACGAGGCGGCATCTATCAGCTGGCTTCGTTTCCAAGGACAGCGTCTGGAAAGATCAAGAGACGTGAGCTCGTTGCTATGGCAAATCAAGAAAAATATATGACAGTCACTTTACAAAGATAAATAAACAAATAAAAACCCACTTTATTTTCTAGTCTTAAAGCATGGCAATGAGAAAGATTGCAGCAGTTATTGGAAGTTCAGGAATTGGCAAATCAAAACTAGCAGTTGAGCTATGTAAAGCATTAAATGGACAAGTCATCAACGCTGATGCTTTACAAGTAATGTGCGCGCCTATAGAAAATATAAAGAAATTATTAAACTATTAAAAAGGTGTATAAAGGTCTTGATATTATAACCAACAAAATGCCAGTGAATGAGAGAGAAGGTATTAAACACCATCTCATGGACTTTTTGAATCCTGAAGAAGAGTACAGCGTGACGGAGTTCTTGAAGGACTGTTCACAAAAAGTAGAGTATATTAAAAAGGCACATACACATAGTACTAACACGGCCCTCCCTTTTTATTCCAGATTGAATCCATATCAGAACAGAGTCAATTACCAGTAGTTGTAGGCGGAACAAACTATTACATTCAATCGTTGATATGGAACAACACATTAATCGGCCAAAGAGAGAGTAGCCCTGCATTGGACGATTTTCCTGAATTAGACAAATTGGAGACAAGTGAACTGTATGAACGTCTGTCCAAAGTTGACCCTGTTATGGCTAATAAATGGCATCCTTCCGACAGACGAAAGATATTGAGGAGCCTAAAGGTATAAAGAATAGATAAAAAGACAATATGGTGAATATAATGCAAGAGCATGTAGATCTATCATCAAACAGGGCAGCCACAGAGCGAAATTATCAAATTACAAAAAGAACAAAATGAGACAGAAGGTTTGCAGCCTAGATATCGATCACTTATCTTTTGGATCTATGCAGAGCCTTCCAAGTTAAATCCACGTTTGGATGAACGAGTAGATCAGATGATAGAAACAGGGTTGTTTGACGAAATTAAAGATCTAAGGAACAGGGTGATACAGGGATCAATTAAAGCTCCCGGACAAAATGAAGAAAAATATCAGCGTGGATTGTGGCAAGCCATTGGGTATAAAGAATTCGACCCTTACTTCAATGCTTTGGAAGAAGGAAAAGAAGAATCAGAAATAGTAAAGATTAAAGATGAATGTACAGAGAGAATGAAGGCTGCAACAAGAAGATACGCCAAGCGTCAAATTCAGTGGATCCGTAATAAGCTTTTACCTACCGTGATGAATTCTAAAGGGGACGATGTACTCGTTTATCTACTTGATGCTAATGGTAAAAAGCAAGGATAGAAAGAAAGAAATAATGACCGAGTCCTTTTTTGTAGATTTGAGCAACTGGAGTGTCAATGTAAAGGACAAAGCTATAACAGTGGCAAAAGCCTTTCAAGAAGACTTGCCTCTGCCGTCAGCTACAAGCCTAAGCGTAACTGCAGAAGCAATGCTAACGCCATCTGAAGATGCCCAAGAGTAAGACCTTTTATCATTCTCTTGAATATTACTCATCATAGAGGTTTGTAGCACACAATCAAGGGTTTTGAATTGGAAAAAGTATGTATGTGATATATGTAAGACAGACAAAGGAGAACCATTGCAATTAAATGGGGATAAAGAGTGGGAGCAGCATAAGAAGAGTAGATTTCATAGAAAATATGTAAAACACCTCAAGGTGGAAGCTATGCGTAAAGCTTATTTAGAATCAAAAAAGCAATCATCATAAACACAATATCAACGTCATTCATGTACAGTCGATGAAATAATGCATCATTTTTTTTTAAAAAAAAAGTAAAGTCAGTGTGTGCTAAAATAGTAGTAAAATATCTTATGTCTTGTGAATCTGTATCAAATAATTAATACCCTCAAAAGATCATGTGTCTTGGTTATATACAATTCGGGCAAAAGGCTGTAAATCCTTGTAATTGATCCAAAACCCGCACCCTTGCATGGACCAAACAAAAAAAA